CCTCCCCCCTCCCCCCCCCCCCCCCCCCCCCTCTCTCTCTCTCTCTCTCTCTCTCTCTCTCTCTCTCTCTCTCTCTCTCTCTCTGGTTTGAGACTGAAGGTGGACCTTCCCTGCTCACTCTTGGTCTGGATAGATTTTCCATACAACTCCTGATTCACACAGTGGTTGGGAATGTATCCAAACAACATACATGGGCCAGAAGAGGGTTGGGGTGCTGGTGAGGGTTGGGGGTGTCTAGACTCTCTTGCTGCACTAACTGTGGGAAAACTTTCTTAAAGCAACAGCATCAAATCCTGCCACCTGCAGGACCCAAATTCTAGAATCCAGAAGGGTTGATCCCTCTAGCAGGTCCAGGGAACACCAGCTTTCTGTCTGTCCAGCATCTTAAGGCCCCATATCCTTCAGCGGTGGCCCCTTCCTCCCTCTTCAAGGTGGGTACCTCCACTGGTGTCCTGCAGATACTGTGAGCAGATGAATGCAGCAGGTGCTTAATTAATACCCATCCACTAAATGGATGTGGCCTCAGTGTGATACCAGATGTACAGTGACAGATGGGGCCCAAATGCAGAAACAGAGTAAGTGGCTAGTGGGGATGGGGGAAGATGCTGCTGGAGTCTAGGCTGGAGGAAAGTGGAGTGGGCAGCTGCATCAGGGGCCAGAAACAGCGACAGAGAGAGACAGATACCGATAGAGATATGGAGACAGACAGAGGGACAGAGAGACACAGAGAGACAGATATGGTAACAGGGAGACAGAGGGACAGAGACAGACAGAAGACCGATATGGAGACAGACAGAGGGACAGAGATAGATAGAAGGAGACAGAGGCAGAGAGACAGAGACAAACAGACAGAGATGGGGCACTGCAGAGAAGGGGGACAACAGTACAGTTTCCTAGGTGAGGCCCAGATCCCAAGGTCACCCACTCCTTAGGCACCTAAGACAAGGCCACCTGAGGCATTCTATGGCCCAGCAGGCCCTGAGGGGCTTGCAGGAGTGTATGCCCCGTGTACTGTGGGGAATGGGGAGTGGGCTGGCAGCCCTTGTCCTGCCTGTGGTGGACTTTTCCAGCTGTGACTACGGGAGGCATGGACACTCCCAGTGGGGTCTGCAGAGGGCTGTCCACAGGGTGAGGCAGGACAGGCTGAGACCCCATGCTGGTCTGAGAGGATTACCTGGCCTTCGGTCACCACACCGGGGGCCCCTGCTTTTTCCACACAGCTCCCCTGGCCGTAGGGGGTCATTGGGCACAGCCCCTGGCAAAGGCACTTAGGTGATAACAGATCTGAACCCTAGGACACCAGGGCCAGGGGTTGAGATCTCACTGCAGCCCAGAGGGACCACAAGTCTTGTCCCCCCCATTGACCATGCTGAGGGCCAGTGGCCCAAGGATGGAGGGAGGCTGTCAGGTGCTGGGGCAGCAGTGACCACGGTGACGACCAGGCATGAGGACGGCCGTTACCTGGGGATAGTTGCCACTCTTTGTCAGGAAGCTGGGAACGGTGGCTGTGGCAGGGTAGCCGGTGTCCGGGCACGACTGGCCGCCGAGGAATGGGGTGGAACCCACAAACTGCCTACAGGAGAAATGAGTACGGAGCTTGGGTCAGGTGAGGCCAGGGGATGGTATCCTCCCTATACATGCTGCCAGTTCATGGGAGGATCCAGCTCAGGCCCACATGGCACGCCTTTCTGTCCCTAAGCATGGGCACGGAGCCACCCTCCAGGTTCCAGTGGACACAGATGGGCTATGTTGCAGAGCTGGGCTGCCCAGGCACTGGGCATCTTGGACACAAGGTCAGAGGACCCAGCCAGCCTGGACTCAGCCTGTGCCAGCCCCTCCCACAAGACTCAGCTGCTGAGTCACAACAGGGACAGCCTAAGAGCTAGAGCCCATTGCTGTCCATCTGTGCCCTGTATTGATGTCCTCAGATGGAGAGCACACGCTGAGAAGGGGTGACAGGCCCATGGGAGACATGGCTCTGTCATGGCTGCCTGCCTCCCTGTGGGGGTTGAGGGGGGGCTGTGCCAGCAGGCTGTATGAAGCCTGGGACTGTGAGGGGAGGATGTGGAGGACAGAGGGTTGGGGCCTTAGAGCCAAACTAGCCAAGCTCTGAAATTCTATGATCCCTTAATTCCCGGGGCCTCTGCCTCCTACCCTTAGCAGCTTTGCTCAAATGGTACATATGGAAAAGGCTGGCCGTCAGAACAGATTACAGAGCCCTGGGGTGAGGAGAGGGCACAGTGCTTAAGAGCAGTCATTGCACAAGCATGAGGACCTGAGATCAGATCCCGAGCCCCACATAACAAGCCAAGCGTGGCCATATATACCTACAACCCCATGTGCCAAATACTGCTGCATTCTGGGTCCAGTGAGAGACTGTCTCAAAAAAGTAACGTGAGGCTGGAGAGCCAGCTCAGCAGTTAAGAACACTGGCTCCTCCTGCAGAGGACAGGGGTTGGATTCCCAGCACCCATGTGGTGGTTTACAACCATCTTTAACTCCAGTTCCAGAGGATCCAACACCCTCTTCTGGCCTTCACAGGCATTGCATGTATAGGTACATTTATATGCATGCAGGCAAAATACTCTTATGCATAAAATAAAAATAAGTAAATAAATACAAAATAAGGTAGAGGGTACCTGAGGAAGACACCCAGCATCACCTCTGGCCCACTTGTGCATGCACACACACCCAAAATCCCAAATTTACATTCAGAACACCCTCTCAAAACTCTCCTAAATCCTTAGGAGGTTCTGGCTACATCTACTTTCAGGGGTTTGCACAGGGCATGCTCCCCAGACAAACTCCTACTGATCCTTCAAAACCCAGTGCTCCTCACCCATCATGCACTGGAGATCTCCCAGCAGCCACTGCCCTTTCAAACATAAGAGACAAGACACAGGGTTCAGGAAACCCAGCCTCTCCTCAGACCCCATGGCTCTCAGGGCTGCTAGCTCTAATGCACCAGTGGCTATGGCCAAAAGCAGGTAGGGTGCAGCCCCATGGACACACTTACTGGCTTTCACTGGAGAAGGTAGGATACGAGGCCGGTGAGAAGTTGCTCCACCAGGGACAGTGCAGGAGTGGGTTCTGAAACACACAGGATGTCAGGGAGCAAGAGGATAGAATCCCAGTGTCCAGTATCCCAGCCTGGACCACAGCATGGACCATCAGCCTGGACCATCAGGGCATGGCTCAGAGGTAGAGCCTAATCCTAGAATCCCCCAGTAAGGGGCTGGGCTTGCTCTCCGGGTGTCCTGGGATCATCACCAAATGGAATGGGTAGCCATACAACCCTATGGGCCTCACTCCATCCTCTGGGATCCCGCCAGCCCTGGTTCTGACCCAGGAATCCTGTTTCTGAATTGTACTAGGGGGTTGGACAAGGAGGGAGAAAAAGACAGTGCTATTTATAGTAGAAGAAATTGGACTGTCCCCAAAGACTGGACAATAGGAAAATAATTAAGCAAATCATGGGCTGTGCACATGAAGAGATGGGTGGAGTATAAAGAGGGCCCAGCAGGGAGGACAGGAGCTGGGCATAGCCATCCTCGTTCTGGTCACAGGTACTGGTCACTGGCTAGGGTTTCTGAGCTGCAGTGACAGTCTATTAATCCAGCAGTTGCTTCCTCAGCCCCTTGTTGGGGCTCCACTGTGGGTGGGTGTAACTGGGCCTGTCCTGAGTGTAGGGTAGCAGAGGCAGGCCTAGCAGAGTCCCCAACCTGCCTCTCCAGACTTTGCTACACCCCAACTCTTGCCATGTTCTCATCATATCTGCTTTTCCTGTGACCTGGGATACTGGGTATCCTGAGTCCTCAGGGCCAAAAAAGGACACAGGGACAGAAGCTACCCTCACCAGCAGCTATTGCCTGGCATGGTGGCCTGGGGCTGTCATTCTAGCACTTGGAAGGCTGAGGTGGAAGATTTACAAGTTTCAGGCTAGCCTGGGCTACAGGATATGACACTGTCTCAAAAATATCAAAAGCCAGGGCTGGAGGGATGGGTCAGTGGTTAAGAACACTGGCTGCTATTGCCGGGCATGGTGGTGCACGCCTGTAGTCCCAGCACTCAGGAGGCAGAGGCAGGCGGATCTCTGTGAGTTCAAGGCCAGCCTGGTCTACATAGTGAGTTCCAGGGCAGCTGGGGCTACAGGGAAACCCTGCTACAAAAAGACCAAATAAAAAAAAGAACACTGGTTGCTTTTACAGAGGACAGGGTTTAGTTCCCAGCATCAACATGGCAGCCAACAATTGTCTGTAACTCCAGTTCCAGGGGATTTGATGCCCTCTTCTGGCCTCCATAGGCATTGCATACACAAATGCACTTAAATGCACACAAAACGCTCATATACTTAAAAAATAAATAGTATTTAAAAAATACAAAAAGCAGGGGCTGTGACTCAGTAAGTAGAGTGCTCCCTAGTATGTACAAGACCCTGAGTTCATCCCCACATAAACCAGGTGTGGTGGTGAATGCCTGTCATCCCAGTACTCAGAGGGTGTAGGCAAGAGGATCAGGAGTTCAGGGTCATCCTCAGCTACATAGAGTTTGAGGCCAGACTGGGCTATATGAGAACCTGTTTCAAAACAAGCAAACAAACCACAAACCTATCCAGGCTAGCTGGAATGGGAGGCTCGGTGGGGAGACCCTGCAGGGCTTCTTCTTGCTCAGGACCCTGTCCAGGGTATTATGGGGGTACGGGCAAGGCAGGGCTCTATGAGAAGTACTCCCCAAAGGTTGCCATGGCCAGACTTGTTGGGGGAATCCACTGTGTCCCCAGGACAGACAAGAGGTCATGTCATGGCTCACCTGCAGCTGGATACCACCACCACCAGCTGGTGGGAGCTCATGTGGAAGGAAGTCCCCATCCATGGTGGATGCCACTGCTAGCATGTGGGGGGCAGGTCACTGAGGGCTGCGTGACCTCAGGCAGTGGCTATCTGGGCTTCTCTCTCAGCAGTGGTGGTAGGCACAGTGTCATGTCCTGTGAAGGAGAAGAGGCTGTTCTGAACTGACCAAAAAGGTTCCCCGGTTCATGTCTGTCAGGTACTTGGACACATCCTGGGGTCCCCACTGGGAAGGTGTCAGGGTGGACCACTGGGCATGGCACTTGCCCAGGACACCCAGCTATGGATGGACATGGTGGGGGAATGCTGCTTGTTCAGGGTTTTGTGACCCAGAGGGAACTATTCACCCCTGCCAGTAGCTCGAGCTAGGACCCGGTGCAGTCCCTCTGTGGGCACTGCCGGTGTCACCCAGGGACTGTCAGGAGCTCAGGAAACCCAAGAAGAGACTTAGATTTTCCTTAGGGTCAGATCATTTGCTGCTGACTGTCTATGGCTAGAGGGCAAGGACCCTGAGCCCCCAGGTCAGACCTGCCAATGCACCTCTGCACACGTTCCCCGGGGCTGTGGCACAAACCCTGAGCACACCAAGGTCCCCAGGCTCCCCATGAGCACAAAGCAGGGTTCCCAGGCCCGCCAGAAGGGTGGTGTGTGGCAGGCAGTCCATAGGGTTAATCACCAGAGGCCGGAAGGGGAGGCGGCCAGGCCTGGCCAAGCCGTGGAGCACAGATCAGGACTTCCAGTAATCGCCCAGGCCTTGCAGCAGGCTGTGGCTTGTGCAATCCTGCCAGGGGGAGGGGACAGTGGGCAGGAGGGAGGGAAAGGGGCCCAGCAGGCAGAGACTGCCAGGAAGGGCAGGCTGTCCTGCCCTCTGCTAGTTAGGCTTCCAGATGTTCCCAACAAATAGGAAGGCAATTAGGGTGAATGGAGTCTTGTGACCTGGGGTCTTGGCCACCCTTATATTTTGGGATGAACTAGGATTGGCTCAGTGGTGAGCATTTGCCTAGCAAGGTGAGGCCCTGGGTTCACTGCCAGCAGTCCATAAAAAATAAAAAATTAAGCAGGGCATGGTAGTGCACGCCTTTAGTCCCAGCACTCAGGAGGCAGAGGCAGATGGATCTCTGTGAATTCAAGGCCAGCCTGGTCTACACAGTGAGTTCCAGGCCAGCTGGGGTTACAAGGAGACCCTGTCTCAAAAAAGACCAAAAAATTATAATAATAATTCAGCAACATTAAAAAAATTCATAAATGAAAGAAGAAAAAAAAAAGACAAAAGTGATGGGGAGATATGGGAGGTGTTTGAAGGGAGTGAGAATAGATTTGATCAAAACACCTTATATGCATGTATGAAATTCTCAACAAAGTTTTTGTAAAAGTTAAAAAAAACCCTCAAAAACCTCTTATCAGATTCCAACCTGATCTGGGTGATTTAACTATCT